TACTGTACCTCTTGGTCTGTTCCTGTCTTTCCTCTTCACTCAAAATGGGTTTGCCTTCTCCAGCAGCAGACACAGGTCCTACAAACAAGCAATCAGTATATTATCCCTTCAGATTCTAATCAGGCCCTCCTGAATAATCACACCATGTCCCCCAGTCAGGACCTTCAGGTCCACCTGACTCTGAGAAGGTGGGTTCCCGTCCCAGGATATGTCCAAGGGAGGTGTCTAGAGGCTCGTCCACATCCGGGTCGTCTTCGTGCTCCATCAGCCTGGCAGGGAAAGTCAGCAGGGAGGTTAGCGTTGAGGCTGCCCCTCCCAGCAGTTGCCAATCCTCCGCCACCCGGTCTGAGCGCTCACCAGTCCATCGCAGCCTCGATGCCCTGGTTCCCTGTGAGGGCCAGAGCCTTCTCCCTGGGGGCAGAAACACCGTGAATAGCGCCCACGAACCATGGTGACGGTCAGGTTGGGGCAAAGGCCGGGACAAGTCCGCGGCTCCCCACCCCCGCGGGCAGGGGTTAGAGGGACTCCCTTACGCGCGTCCCCTAGGGAAGCCCATCTCGATAAGACTCTCCAGAGCCGTCAGCTCCGCCATGGCGCCGCCACCGCCGCTTCCGCCGGGACCTGGTGTGGCGAGAAGGAGGGCGGGAAAGGTCAGCGCGGGGCAGATTCATCCCAGACGCCCCTGGCCGGGCGCTGGCTTACTCACCCGGCTCTGGACCAGCCGGGGACACCGACGAGAAGAAAGCCGAAGGGAAGCGGAAGTGCCCGAATCTGTTTGGGTCACGTGGGGGGCGAATGTGGACGGGTGCCGCAGAGAGTCATAAAACTACCTGGCTCCAGTGCCCGGAACCTAAGTAGGCGGGTCGGTGCTTGGCCCGAGTCACTAACAGGGAGGCGACCTACCAGGCTCGGCGCCTAGGGGCGGAGGGGAAGAAAGCTGGTGCGGTTTTGAAATCTGTGGGCGGAATGCAGTCAGCCCACACTGCCTCACACTTCTTAAGAAATTGCAAGAAATATGGCCCTTTATCGCAACCTCTTGGAAAGTTATTTGGCAATGTTTATCTGGAGCCATAGAAATGTGCAAGCTCTTTGACCCACTCATGGTCTCCGGATAGTTGAGTTATCCTGTGCCTGACTGCCAAAAGGATCTTTGCAAAACACAGTATCTGATCCTGTCATCACATCCCTGCTTTAAAACTTCTTGACACTCTAGTCGTCTAGGACAAAACTTAAATAAGTGCTGGTGGGGGTTTTTTTGTTTGTTTGTTATTTATTTATTTATTTTGAGACAGAGTCTTACTTTGTTGCCCAGGCTAGAGTGAGTGCCATGGCATCAGCCTAGCTCACAGCAACCTCAATCTCCTGGGCTCAAGCGATCCTCCTGCCTCAGCCTCCCGAGCAGCAGGGACTACAGCCATGCGCCACTATGCCCGGCTAATTTTTTTTTTTTTGTATATATATTTTTAGTTGGTCAATTAATTTCATTCTATTTTTAGTAGAGACAGGGTCTCACTCAGGCTGGTTTCAAACTCCCAACCTTGAGCAATCCGCCGCCTCGGCCTCCCAGAGTGCTAGGATTACAAGCATGAGCCACCACGCCCAGCCAGTGTTGGTGGTCTTACTTCCTCCTGCTCCCCACTTTTTTCCAGTTAGAGGCCCCATCTGTAAAGTGAAGGTAACAACAGCACCTATCTTAGGTGCTTTTCAAGACACTGTGTGTAGCCCTATGCGCCTATAATCCTAGCACTCTGGGAGAGAGAGGCAGGATGATTGTTTGAGCTCAGGAGTTCCAGGAGTCAAAATTTAAAAAGACACTATGTGTAGCTGGTCTGATAGTAGTGGGTTGTCAGAACTTTGTTAACATTAGTGTCACTAAAGTTGGTACTCAACCCCCCATGGCTAAATTTGGCTTAAAAAATAAAAGGACCTTGTAAATGCTGGTAGTTACCGCACAATTTCATCTTCCACCTCTTTTTTTTTTTTTTTTTTCATTCTGTCATGATTTATTTATTTTTTTTTTAATTATTTTTTTTATTTTGGCATATTATGGGGGTACAGATTTTAAGGTTTCAATAAATGCCCATTTCCCCTCCTCCCCCCAAAAGTCTGAGTCTCCATCATGACCATCCCCCAGATGGTGCACATCTCACTCACTATGTATGTATATACCCGCCCCCCTCCCTCCTCCCTCTTTTTTTTTTTTTTTTTTGAGACAGAGTCTTACTCTGTTGCCCTGGCCAGAGTGCCATGGCATCAGCCGATGCTCACAGCAACCTCAAACTCCTGGGCTCAAGCAATCCTCCTGCCTCAGCCTCCCGAGTAGCTGGGACTACAGGTGTGTGCCACCATGCCCGGCTAATTTTTCTGTATATTTTTAGTTGGCCAATTAATTTCTTTCTATTTTTACTAGAGACAGGGTCTTGCTCTTGCTCAGGCTGGTTTTGAACTGCTGACCTTGAGGTATCCTCCCACCTTAGCCTCCCAGAATGCTAGGATTACAGGCATGAGCCTATTTTTTTTGTTGTTGGGGTTTTGTTGTTGTTGTTGTTGTTTTTGAGACAGAGTCTCGCTTTCTTGCCTAGGCTAGAGTGAGTGCTGTAGTGTCAGCCTAGCTCACACCAACCTCAAACTCCTGGGCTCAAGCGATCCTTCTGCCTCAGCCTCCCAAGTAGCTGGGACTACAGGCATGTGCAACCATGCCCGGCTAATTTTTCTGTATATTTTTAGTTGGCCAATTAATTTCTTTCTATTTTTACTAGAGACAGGGTCTCGCTCTTGCTCAGGCTGGTTTTGAACTGCTGACCTTGAGCTATCCTCCCACCTTAGCCTTCCAGAATGCTAGGATTACAGGCATGAGCCTCTTTTTTTATTGTTGGGGTTTTGTTGTTGTTGTTGTTTTTGAGACAGAGTCTCACTCTGTTGCCTGGGCTAGAGTGCTGTGGCGTCAGCCTAGCTCACAGCAACCTCAAACTCCTGGGCTCAAGCAATCCTTTTGCCTCAGCCTCCCAAGTAGCTGGGACTACAGGCATGCACCACCATGCCCGGTTAATTTTATATATATATATATTTTTTAGTTGGCCAATTAATTTATTTCCATTTATAGTAGAGACGGGGTCTCACTCTTGCTCAGGCTGGTTTCGAACTCCTGAGCCTGAGCAATCCGCCTGCCTCAGCCTCCCAGAGTGCTAGGATTATAGGCCATCTTCCACCTCTTGAGGATAACCTGTGTATACTTCAGAACAGGTTCTAACCCTCCTCTTGGCCTTTGCACCCTCCAGTCCCTCTGCCTGGGATGCCTTGCCTCTTTTCTTGGCCTGGTTAACTCCTGGACTTGAGCCTGGGTGTTCGAGGTTGTAGACTATGATTGTGCCACTGCACTCCAGCCTGGACAACAGAGCAAGACCTTGTCTCAAAAAAAATAACAACAACACCCCCCAAAAATTTTTAATGTTAAAAGAGAAAAATAATGTTAGGTCTTCATTTTATTAAAACATAATCCAGGCTGGTCCGATGGTAGCGGGTTATCAGAACTTATTAACATTAGTGTCACTAAAGTTGGTATTCAACCCCCCACTGCTAAATTTGACTGGCTTTTAAAAAGAAAACAAACAAACAAACAAAACATAATCCAGCAATGGCTAGCACTCTGGGAGGCTGAGATGGGAGGATTACTTGAACTCAGGAGTTCAAGACCAGCCTGCACAAGAGAGTGAGACCTCCTCTCTACTAAAAATAGAAAAATTAGCTGGCATGTGCCTGTAGTCCTAGCTACTCAGGAGGCAGGAGGATCACTTTAGCCCAGGAGTTTGAGGTTGCAGTGAGCTATGATGATGCCAATGCACTGTAGCCCAGGCAACAGAGCAAGAACCTGTCTCTAAAAAACAAACAAACAAACATACAAAAACCATAAATAAAATATATAAGTGCTAGAGACTTTTATGTCATTAGTTTTTATATTTCATCATCACAACAATCTCTATGAGGTAGATACTATTATTAGTCACAGGAAACAGACCCAGAAAGATGAGATAATTTGCCTAAGGTCACAAGGCTAGTAAGTAGCAGAGTTAGGAGCCAACCCATGCAGTGTGTGTTCACTAAACCTTTATGCTATGTTGCCTCTCCATGGTAGAGTGAAGAGCATTGGCCTTAGAGTTGGACAGCTTAGGCCCAGATCCTAACTGAACTCCTTAGCTGTAGCTTCAAACCATTTAGAAGCTCAAATTTCTCATCTGTGAAAAGGTGATATCATCTCTAGCAATGATTGTGGTAAAGATTAAGTGAGAATACATGTAAATCATGTCTTTAATAATGAGATAGTAGGTCCTCTCATTATTTCTAAATGAACAAATGCTCAGGAAATACAGGAATTAAATAAAAAGGCACAAGATATTCATTGCTGTGTGATAACAAGTGTATTCTAAATTTATGCTAGAGGTTCAAGAATAAAATGATTAAATTGTATAGTACTGCCTCTTTTTTGACCTATATCTGGGTAAGTACCCTACAGAAATCCACAAACACATGAGGATACACAAGTAAGGATGTCCTATGGGACACACTTGAAACAATGTAAATGTTCCAACAAAGAGTGATGACTAAAGTGAGTCAAGGAGTACCCGCCTATGAAAAATTATGCAGCCTTTAACATAACAAGGGGGGCTATGATTTACTACTTTGGGTTGTATCTAGAGGCCATAAGTGAACAATTAGTGAAAAAAGAAAATATTTGCATTTCCTAAAGAAAGATCTGCTCTGCTAAGAGTAATTATCTCTTTTGGAGAAATTTCACTATACATTTTCCAGTATCACTTGAAATTTTGTATGTGTTACTTTTATAATTTAAAAAAGACCAGTAAAAGTGAGGATTGATTGTGCTGTGTAGCAACACAAAACAGACTTCTCTACATCCACTTAATTTAAAAATAAATTCAAATGTATACTACTATGAAAAATAGGTGTGCAGACAGGGAATTGAAAGGGCTCATGAAAAATGAAAATGTCTTTTAAATGTCCTTTAATGTTGTTACAGTGGATATACAATAAACACAAACGGGGGAAAGGGAGAAATTCCTTGGTACTATTGTTGTTTCTGTTTTGTTTTAACTAGCAGGAACTTGTGCCAGACTGTAGGTTGGCCCTTCCGTCTCTTCTCCACCCTCCTCAGACACAGGTGCACATGGACTCAGATGTGTTTATCCTTAATAACTAAACAAAAGTTAGAAGCAGAAGAGGATGGTCTCTGGCCCCAAAGGCCCATCCTGTCTCAGCTTATTCTCAAAATCCCACTGAAGCCACCCACAGTGACAGAGCCCTTTTGAGGGTGTATGACAAGGGGGGTCTAAGTATAGTCAACAGGCCTGCGACCTGATTTGTAAGGTGGATAAGAATGGTTTTTAAATGGTTAAATGGCCATATAAGTACCTATATACACAGCATGCGTGATGTTATCCTCTCGAACCCAGAAAGCCGAACTTATTTACTATCTGGCCTAACCTGGGCGACCCTCTCTACTCTCTTCTAGACCTCAGCCAGGGAACAAAACGGCAAGTCCGGCGGGACCCAAACAAACGCTTCGCTGAGAGAACCCAGCCACAGCTGTGGCCCAGGCGCCTGGGGCTGGCTCCTAGTTGCTGTCCTGCCTGCCCTGGCAGCAGCAGTCCCCTCCTCCCCAGAGCCCAGAGCCCGGATCCCAGATCCCGGAGCCCGGAGCCCGGAGCCCGGAGCCGAGCTGAGCACCCCAGGTGGGGCTTGGCTGTGTCTCCAGGCCCCTTCAGAGCGCCCCTGCGGTTCTGGCGGCAGCCCGGCGCGGGCAGCCCCAGCGGTCCCGCAGGCAGAAGTGCCAGACCAGGGCGGAACAGCTTAGCAGGGCCAGGGCTGTGCCCACCGCAACGGCCGCGTGGACCAGGGAGAGGGGCCTGGGCGGCACGGAGAGCCGGCCGCAAGGCCCAAAGGCGAGCATGTCTGCTGCCTGGGGGCCCTGCCCACCTGCCCCAGGCACGTGACTCTCCCCGGCCTCGTTAGCGGCCACCACGCAAACGACATAAGTGCCCCCAGGCTTCAGTCCCTTAAGTTCTGCTTTTCGGAAGGTGGAGTTCAGCGGGAGGCCCTTCTGCGGAGCGCCGCTGCCCTCCCAAAGCAGCAGCCAGTAGTGGTGGACCGGGGAGAAGGGAGCACACCAGTGGACCACGGCACAGCCCTCCTCGGCCACAACGTGCACCTCTCCCAGGCGCGGCGGGTCTGGCGGCTGGGCAGGGCTGGAGAGCCCTGGGCACAAGCAGGCCACCGGGCCGACCCTCTGCAGCTCCCTGCAGGGCACCTGCAGGTGTCGACAGCGGTCATAATCACAGGGAACAGGCGGTGGCTCCGTCTTATCTATCTCCTCTTCCTCAAAGCCTTGAGGGGCCAAGGGCTGAGCTCTAGGAACCAAGGAGAAGGTCACCACGGCCAGGAGCCACAGAGGGCAGGTAGAGCCCAGCATGGAGCCTGGAAGGGAAGGGGTAAATAGGTAAAGGCTGTTTAGCCCACAAGCCTTCCAGGCCCCTGTCTCAACAAAAACTCTGGGGACAGGGACAGCGAACCACAACTAGGAATGAGGAGGGAAGAGGAAAAAGGTGGGAAGGAGATTCATTTGTGAACCAACTTCTGAATCCAGGCTATGTACTTGCTTTCAGACAAAAAAGAATAAAATATGGTTTGACACATGAGAGACCGATGTGATCAGCAATGTGTTAAGTATTAGAAACAGTTAATGAATAAACAAAGTGCTGAGGGAGAAGAGATGATTTACTTGGACCAGGGAAGAATGGTAGAATAATTCCCAGCTGCCACCCACAGAAAAGATCTAAGTAAAACAAGTATCGGTCAGCAGCACATGCAAAAATCCAGAAAGGAGACAGAAGTGAGGGAGAGGAGATAGAATAGAAGGGGGAAATAAGGACCTGTAACCCTCACTACCCACCTGCTATCTGTGCAAACCCTGCCCAAGGAGTCCTGGCCCCTGCCTGTGCCCCCTCCTCCTCCCTGGCCCCCAGCAGCCCCTCACCAGTGGGTAGGCCTTGATAAAGTGGGAATCCACCACCAGACGTCTGCACGTATGAGGCTGAGGGGTCCCCACGATCACAGGCTGCGCTGCCAGGTTTTATCTTCAATTTCAACTCTGTTTTGGCTTGAAGCTTTTATACCCTTCGACTGTGATGTCACCATCTAGCCCTCTTCTTCCTCGGCCTCTCCAGTGACTGCAAAAAAGAGGGCTGCTCCCTTCAGGGGGCCGACTGAGTCACAAGGCCAGGGATGGGGAAAGCCACATGCAGCAGTTGCAGCTGGAGCCCGGGATGCCTGGGTTCTGAAAGGGGAATGGAATGTGGACAGCGGCCAGGAGCAAAGAATCCAACGGCTCAAGTCATGTGAAGCAATGGGGAGGGGAGCATGGGAGAGTTGGCCACCTGGCTGGTATCACAAAGGAAAACAGCTGCGAACAGCATGGGCCTGAGCTACTAAATGCTGTTTTGGTAAAAATCATACCACATCCATGGCAGTCATTTCCTGTCTTCTGCCTCCCAATGGATAGAGAAAGGGAGGGGTGCAGGGGGCCAGAATGATGTATCCTGGTTCTCCAGACCCGCCCTGCACTATCCCTGTCCCCTGAGGGAAAGAGAGCAGGAAGCCCGACAGAGGCCAGGATAGCTTCTCTCTCCTTGGACTTGTTAGGCTTAGAAATGGAAACAGATGTGCTCAAAATTGCCCAGGCTGGGCTGGGCGCGGTGGCTCATGCCTGTAATCCTAGCATTTGGGGAGGCCGAGGCGGGCAGATTGCTCAAGGTCAGGAGTTCAAAACCAGCCTGAGTAAGAGCGAGACCACGTCTCTAGTATAAATAGAAATAAATTAATTGGCCAACTAATATATATAGAAAAAATTAGCCAGGCATGGTGGCACATGCCTGTAGTCCCAGCTACTCGGGAGGCTGAGGCAGGATTGCTTGAGTCCAGGAGTTTGAGATTGCTATGAGCTAGGCTGACGCCACGGCACTCACTCTAACCTAGGCAGCAATAAAGTGAGACTCTGTCTCAAAAAAAAAAAAAAAAAGAAAAAATTGCCCAGGCTGGAGGCCTTCCCCCTGGGTAGCCCTTGACAAGACAACCTCTTTCAACGGGAGAGAGTGGGAGCAACACAGGGTTTTCAAATAACACAAGGTTTTCAAAAGGCCCTAAATTCATTTCAAAGAGTCAGGGAAGCAGCTGGCACGAAAATAGTTTATTGAGGGAAAAACAAGGGGCGAAGGGTCAGGTGGGAAAGTGCTGGAATGTGAAGAATCTGCCCTTTTCTTTAGGAACTAGAGCAGGTGGAGCGCTGTCGGACAGTACCCACACAGGGTTCGGAGCTGCCCAGGGTCTCTGGAGCAAGGGCAGGGGCAGAGGCAGAGCCAGAGGCAGGAGTAGGCAGGTTGGCCTCCGTTAGCAGCGCTGCATCTTCCCAGGAGCCTGAACCTGGGCCAGAAAAGGGAAAAACAATCCCAAATGGGATATTAGATTAACTAGGGGTCCCACACCCACTCCACCCAGGTCCCACTGCGGGATGCCCCTCACCATCACTGGCCTCAGGCTCCAGCTCCTCCTCCCCACTCAGGGGCTGCTGATCTGGTTTCTCTTCCTCAGACAGCTGACCCTCTGTAGACAAAAGGGGACCACAGAGATTAGACCCAGACACTGAAGGGGACAGCTAAGGAGTCAGGAAGTGGGGAATGCTGCTGCGCCGTACCTGTCCCTGAGGGATCTTCAGGGCTCTCACCGTCTTCTGTTATATCTGATAGCTGGGTTGATTCCTCCTGGCTTTCAGGCCCTGTGTCTCCAAAGCAGGTAAAGGACAGATTAGGGTCAGGATGACCGTGTCTGGACAGAAATGACAACTTCACCTCCTTCAGCCTCTCCTTTGACCCTCAGCTCAGTATGTTAGTGCCTTAAGCCTCACACTGGATAAAGCAAGGACGCCTTCTTGCCCGGCTGAGCCCACCTCCCTCCTGAACACTTCCCTCAATCAAGACCTTTACCTGACTGATGGGTAGAGATCCTTCGCTGGCCTTCCTTTCGGGAATTGTCCCTTTTCCGGATGTTAACCTGTGGAGGAGAAACTACTGAGCAGTGGGGACTGACTTCCATCCCTGGTGATCAGGGCCCTCATGCCCTAACCCCCACCATGTCCCTGGCCACCCACAAAGAAAGATCATGAAGGAGAGAAAAAGAGGTCCTTGCCCCTTGCAACCTGCAAAGAGAAGCGCTGTTGGGGCCAGATGCCTCCCCACACCCACTGCATGTAGCTGAAGACCACGATGACGCTGAGGAAGGTGAAGTTGCTGGCGACACCTATGAAGGCGCAGGTCATTGGGAAGTTGTACAGCAGGTATCTGAGGTGGGAAGGGAGTAGCAGTTACTGGAGAGCACCAGTGCTTTCATTTCCCAGAAATAATTTCTAGCGCAATTCAAATGAGTTTGGCTAGAGCCAGCCTCTACCTCCCCTGCCTCCCACCCACACAGAACCCGATTTATTGGTTGTAATAAAGGCCAACGACCTACGGGAAGTCTCAGCATTGCAGGGCCATAGGCAACAGCCTCAACTGCGGCTCTCTCTCAGAAGTCACCCCAGCTCTGGCTGAGTCAATGGCTTAAGAACATAGTTCTCAACTCTGGCTGCGCGTCAGCTTCCCCTGGGGTGCTATGAAACATTCTGCCGCCAGCACACTAGCTTGGGTGGAGCAGGCTCTGCCCTGGACTGCTGGGCAGATGTCGGGTCTGAGGCAGGGAGGGAGGGAGAGTGAGGTAGAGGGAAGACAGGCAGGGTGGAGGGAGGACGGACAGGGTGGAGAAAGGATGGTGACCAGGCTGAGGGAGTACAGTGGGGCAAAAAACAGAAAAAATAAAAAACTCTGATGCCTAGCCATAAACCTAACAAATTCTGGTTCAGTTGGTGTGAGGTAGGGCCCAGGAATATTTTTTAAAAGTTCCCCAGGTGACACGCTGATGTGCAGCCGGGACTGAGAACCTGTGGCCTGTGTGAAACCCAATGCAACACTGCCCTGTAAACCTGTTACCTCTGCTTGAGACCCTCTCATATAAGGCCAGCCCCCACGAGAGCTGCCTGAGGTCTGCTTTAGCAGCTCCTCACCTGAGCCCCGTGAAGTGAGCGTGGATGCGGAGGTGGGCTCCGTACATCTGGATGCGCTTGCTGTGGATCTCGATAATCGCTCCGGTGGTCGGCACATACTGCAAGGGGGTTGGGGTGAGGGCAGTGTCAGGCCAGGACCCTGCTGCTGGCATTCCTGTCAGCCCAGTGTGAGGCCTGCTTCCAGGTCTCTGCTGCTGTCCCTCCTGACTGAGCCCAGAGGCTCTTCAGGTAAGATTCTGGGCTAATGGGGCAGGCTATCTCCTGGCCATCCTTCACCTCACTTACTGAGTTCTCTCTATAGTCCGCATAGAGCTCCACCTCCAGAAGCTGCTTCTGCTCTGCAAAGCCAAACAGCAAGAGGCTAGAGAAAACCAGCGTGTCAAGCATCTGGAGCAGGTCTGAGCGGTAATGCAGCATCACCTGCCAGGGACAGGAGGGAGAAGTTGGGGACAGGTCCAGATCCCCATGGCCCTGCCTACCCCTCAACCACCCTTGAGCAGTTTCCAAAAGCTGTTTGTTTCTTCCTTAGATCCCTGCTCCCTCACCTTCACTTCTTATCCAGTCTTCTTCTTTTTTTTTTTTTATTTGAGACTGAGTTTCACTTTGTCACCTGGGCTAGAATGTCGTGGCATCAGCCTAGCTCAAAGCAACCTCAAACTCCTAGGCTCAAGTGATCCTTTTGCCTCAGCCTCCCAAGTAGCTGAGACTACAGGCACACACCACCGTGACGGGCTAAGTTTTTCTATATTTAGTAGAGATGGGCTCTTGCTCTTGCTCAGGGTGGTCTTGAACTCCTGACCTCAAGTGATCCTACTGCCTTAGCCTCCCAGAGGGCTAGGATTACAGGCGTGAGCCACCGCGCCTGGCCTTATCCCTGAGTCTTGACACAACCATTCCAATTGCTTGAGTAAGCTCTCCTCCTACCTGACCACATCCCTTCATTCTACTATAACTAAGGTCCCTCCTTCCAAGAAACCTTCCTAGGTCAAGGTCAACACTGTCTCTGATCTACCTTTCCCCCACAAATAGTTCTATAATCTAGTATGAGATCTAAGTCCCAGTACACCATCTGAAGCTTTTTCCCCCCATGCAGACATCAGGAATTTACTTCATGATATGGTTCTGCTGATAATTTACATAAGAATGAAGTCACTTTATACCCAACGCATTAAGTTGTCCCACAGCTAGCTTGTTTCTGAATGAGGACATAAGCCCAGGTCTGTTTGGCTCTAGAACCTTTGTTTTCTGAGAGCAGCATACTCTTCAGATTTTACCCCAAAGTCAGGCATGTGTGTCAGATACCTGGGGTGTCTGCATATGTTTCTAGTTTGGTGAGCTGATTCCTCTTTCCTTATCCTGACATGTCTGTAACCTCAGAGCTAAGATGTTTTCTACTGAGGCCCTGCCCAGATATTCTTACTCTGCCACCATTCTCCACACCCGACCACACAGGCCATGAACATTTACCGAGCGTGAAGAAGTAGAGATGATTCGGCCGCCTCGGGTGTAGCATGAAACGGTGACCAAGAACATGCCCAAATCTTGATTCACAGGGGACTCTGGCAGCTCCAGCTCTAAGGTAATGCGATATGGCTGTCCATACATCAGCACCTGCCCAAGGTAACCCCCATCTCTTGTCAAAAAGAAACTTTTAAATACTGTCCCTCTTCCACCTCTCTCCCACCCATCCACATAAATACTTGCCACAACCCCCTTGTGCATATCAGGCCTCTCAATCTCTCATCCCAAGAAGGTGCTGCCCCCTCCTGGTGGCTGAGCCCCCCTGACTTCCAAGGGCTTTGGTATCCTGTTGGCTCCCCTAAATCACAAGCACTATTCTGTTCCAGAAAGGCTGTGTCACATTTATTTTCTAAAAGCGAACCATCATGTTGCCAACTGGGCCATCTGTGACTCAGGGCTATGTGACTAAGGCTGTCTCCCGGGCCCAGCCCGCCCTCCTCACATGATTAATTAACCAAGAGCCAGCAGTGCTCATGGTGTCCCCAGCCAGCTCGCATACAGTCTAGATCATCTTTAAGCCACTCTGGGTCCCTTATCGTGGTTCTGTTGGTAGAACTCTGAGACTCATAGCAGGAAGGCTTCTTCATCACCGGGGTCAACCTCAAATTGGTAAAGACTTGCCACCAAACATACCCTAGTTTTTCCTGACCATTCCTATATTCTTCTAATCCCTTTATTTAATGATTCTATCTAGCAGCACGACTTTCACAGGATAGTATATAGGAACCATAGGGGTGATGATGAAGCTTTTGTTTTATTTGTTTTTGTTTTTTTTTGAGACAGAGTCTCGCTTTGTTGCCCAGGCTAGAGTGAGTGCCATGGCGTCAGCCTGGCTCACAGCAACCTCAAACTCCTGGGCTCAAGCAATCCTTCTGCCTCAGCCTCCCCAGTAGCTGGGACTACAGGCATGTGCCACCATGTCCAGTTAATT